ATTCTAATGACTACTCTCGTACGAGGGCTCGAGGTTTTCCTTCAGATGAGATTATTTGACCCTAATTGAATTTAACTGACAGGAGAAATGCAAATCCGGACCAGAAATCCGGACGATTAGCATGTCCGAGTTGAGCTGGACAGCTCGGAATGCAAATTGCTTGCTTCTCGCATAGGATATATGCATGGAATTGTCCATGAGTGTGAGCTTGAGGTTATTTGTGTCTCCCAAACTGTTGAGAATAGTTATACTCAGTTGGTAAACTCCGGTTATTGCAAATAACATGCAACCGCTTTTTAATTGGGTTACCGTGACAACTTGCAGGAATGGTATGAATAGAGTAAACTTGTGTTGCAACTGCGTTAAAAAAATCCGCATTCCAAATAATTTATTCTTTCTTGAGGTCATGTTAGTTTTAATTTCCTTAAGTACTTTACGGAACTTGGTTTGCATTACCAGAACCTGTACTTCTAAGCCCTGTTGGAACATTAGTTGTATCTAGTTGTCAATTGTCATTTGTTATAGCTTTTGAGGTAAAAGCAGAAGAGCATTTTCAATCGTCTTAAATCACTTGTGATGGCAAATATGGGAGGCAACAGAATGCTGACCAGACACAGAATAAGATGGATGCAAGGGTATGTAACGTGAATTTCTGGTAGATTTCATATGAGAAAAGTCTAAACCAAGAGTAAAAGCTAGTTGATAAAAACTGGAGTTTTTACTGTGCATTTTTGAGCTGGATTGTGTGTAACGTGTTGTGGACATGCACGAAGAATAGCAACGATGTTGGTGGCAGGTACGGTTGATTGAACACCCACTGTTACTTGTGAAAATACGCATTTGCTATTGAAAGAAAATATGAAGTTTCAAAGACGAGACATTTCCTATTGGATAGGAGTTATTCAGACCTCATATTGGGTCGGTGTTTTGTGTTTGGGGACTTACAGCTGCATCAGCTCATCCTAAAAGCATCAGCGCTAGTGGTAGAATTAGTACTGCAGCAAATTTCTGCATACAAGCAAACGTGTCATGCTCATCTATAGTTACGGTGTATGTGGTTGAACAACAACCCCCAGATTGGACAGTGAGCGACCAGCAACAGTATGTTCCTCTCCGAAAATACATTTTTAACCGGTGTAAGGAAAACCCATTTCAAAATTACAGTTACTCTATCCGCAACGTAATAGGAGCCATATTTTTACGAATAAAGAAACATCTGCCTTTTACGATCGAGGGACATTGAGGAAGACCGGAATGAGGAATTTTCATCCTTCTGTGATAACATCTTCGTTTATTTTTGTTTGAACATTCGTGAGTAAAGTGAGATCATTGGAGAGAATTTTACGGTCATGGGACTAGTTGTTCTGCTTAACATGGAGCCATTTTCTATTTTGCTCCTGATAAAAGGACGATGTGTTTGTGTGAAAATGACCCGAGAATAAAGAATTTTTCTTATCATGATGGGTTCCGAAAGAAGAGTGAGAGTGGGGAGGAGTAACGTGGAAAAAGAGGCAAAATACTGAGACAAGTAATAAATGCATTAATTTTAGTAGATGCATCAATATGGATAATAGTAGTAATCGTAACAGTGGTATAAGTAATGGTGATAATAGTAGTAGCCACAGTAGAAATGTCAGAAGTAGTAGTAATAATAGTAGCGGTGGTTATAGTATAAACAATAGTGGTAGTAATAATAGTACTAATAGTAGTAGTGGTAGTAATAACAGTAGTATAAATAGTACTACTAGTATTAATAGTGGTAAGGATGTAGCAGACGTCTCATGCATGCTATCTCTATTGTGTAATGCTAATTCCAATCTTACACGGCTCATCTCTTTCTGAACGTTGAAATGTTCTTCTTTTAGTGCCACACTGTTATACTTCCGGTCGAGTATCCCCTTAATTCAGAACACATCAGTTTCTAACTTTTCATCGTTTCCAAACCGTATAGATTTCATACTGATTGGTAAGATCTGGCACAACAACCTCAGATGAAACCTGCTTATTATTGTGTTCATCAGGAATGACCGGTTTTTAAGATAGTAGTCCGGAACAAAATGGCCTAAATACATTCTGCGGATTTCTGCCTCGATACACATACAGTATGGTTTCCATACCATTTCGAACGGAAGGAAAATTTTCTTTAGTCTTATTTAAAAGTTTTCACCCGTTATCTGACTCCAAAATCGTTTCTCACCACATCCGCGCGAGCGCTAGTCCGAGGACAAATGTCTCCTATTAGAGCGAGATAGTTGTGTTCAGGTGACACACGGGGTGTTAGGTTCAGCTGATCAGACAAGTCATTCTAACCTCAACATTTTCTTCAATTTTACTTTGTTCTTAGTTGGTAAGCATTTGCTTTAGTATGCCTTGAAATATAAATTATTGTCGAATATGTGGTAAGTAAAATTGTCCAGAAGTTTTTGAGTTATTTCCCTTTTTATTTGTAATACGGAGTGGCAGCGGTCAACTGGTATAGATCAATCTTTCTTTGATCGACCTGCCGGTATCGGCATCGTCACCAACAACTCACCACATTGTTTTCATCCACCTCTTATAGCTCATTAATGGCTTCAGCTCCCCTGCAAAGTGTTAAATCCATAAAAGGAGGGGAAGCATCATCTTGCTCGTATCTTAGTAAACCGAGAAAATATCAATGTTGACTTGGAAAATCAAATCTCACACTAGAATTCTATCACATTTATTTGTTTTTCATTTAGCAAATGTATCATTCATTTTTCAGTGCCTCACGTCTTCTTCAGTTTAACTTGCCGAAATTGCCCAAAATTCACCCTGTTTGGTGTATAATACTTAAATTGACTTTGAAATTGTAAACTTGATCATATAAAGCAGTTTTTATCTCAGTTTATTGATCTTTTTTCTTCACTAAATGCTCCCTTGAAAATGAGAAGACAGAGTTTGTTTTTATCAAAAACCGCTATTCTAAAACTCAGTTTACAAAGAATCGCAACAATGAAACTGGATTTAAATGAAGCTACAAATTCATCAATAGATTTTCGAGAATAATTCAAACACAGAAAACATTTTAGATCATATCGCGTTCTTTCAGCTGCTGGGTTCACATTTCTGCAAATCGCGTTTCTGCCTGTACAGCAAATGTGAGCAGCCATTGGACTATTAAATGTTTAAAGATGTACAACCTGGATCAATTGATTACATGCCTAATATGGTTTTATTGGAGCGATTTGTTTATCATATTAAACCACCGGTGGCATGTTGATAATAACTTACCAAAATTTACTACTTTCCTGATTTTCATTTTTCCCTCCTATGTTTCAGTCAAATATTTAGTTTTTTTAGTTCCTCTATCACTTGCTGAGTCATGACTTATTGCAGTATTCCTCCCAACGTTTCGATTGACAGTTTTTCCTTGGCCATTGAGTATTCCGTATCGACCACATGGGCTGTTATCTGAGATTCTTTGCTCCTATCCACACCCTTCAGAGTGACTTACTGACTTATCTGTCATTCATGATGAATAACAAGCTTCAAGTATCCGTATGCGCATCTACACTCCTTGTAAGGTACCTCCCCGAATAGTGATAGGCAGTTAGGAAATGTACAACAAACTCTTAGCCATTTTTACACGGGATGAGAGTTACCAACTGAATTCGTTCATTTGGGCAAACACTTAACCCAGTCAACATCATGATCATCTGCACTATTTACCACAACTTACTTAACCTCTGTTGATGTTTTGAAAAGGAGAAGCTTTAGTAACAATATGTACAGCTTCAACGATAGATCTTATTTTCCTATAGCATTTGAAGGTAGTTAGAATCGGATGTATATAATTAAACTTAAATAAATTGCACTTTATAGAACTTGGTAAACTTTTACTTCACAGTATCATATCCAATTTTAGAATTGATGTTACTCGAGGGATCGCGTTTCGGGCTCATATTGTTTACTTCATTCTGGGAAATTTTCTTTCTTTCTGTTTATTAAAAACACCAAACTGCAAGTAATTTTGAGAAAGGACTCTGGAGCCAATCAGAAGCTGTCCAAAAGAAATAAGGATAATGGAGATGATAGGCAGTTGTGGAGGGGTTAGAAAGCACGACCGCCAGGTCACTGTTTTATTAATTGTTGCGACCAAAACTATTTAAAACAACCCACGTAAATATGAAAATCATTAAAAGCAAAATTGAAATACCTATTTTATGGTTTCAAGGCTCAGTGCAAGCAAAGTTTTGGTTTATTATTTTCATGTGTACCGTTTGTGCAAAACCGAACGGAGAATAACATCCGAGAACTGTGCTCTAATAAGCAGTTTGTTTCTTCTCTTACACATTATTTGAATGTAAGACATTTTCACTGTATTGGGCAAAAATAAAAAATGATTGTTCACCGTACATCTTTAGCTAACACCGAATAGTGAAACACACCAATCGCACCCAGTTAATAGTGCGAGCAACACAAAGCTCAAATGAGGAGCGTTTTATAGATAAGGCAAACTAGTGCACAATCTACACAACAATAACGCTTCACTTGTACAATACAGATGCCTTTTGCAATCATTTTTTTAAACTCAAATAAAGTTCTTCTGAAATGGATAAGACTAAATACTTGAAATTGTATTCATCCAGGAGTCTGAAAATGGTAGTATTACATAAACTTTTAATCACTGGTAGCTATCAACAGCACTGCATAACCCACAAGTTCGTGTCGACTAAATCACATGAATATCACTCTCAGTCGTTATTTGATTACTTCAAGGATCTTGGTTTCACATGAACACTAAATAAGGCAGCATTCATTTCCCCCTGCCCCGCCCCCGAGTCTGACTCGTCTGATTCATCTGAATTCAACTAATAAACTTCCCTCAGCAGGTAAATTATTAGCACAGAACAAACATGATGACTAAATCCCCGTTTCCATTTCTAATCTATTTCATATCAACTTGCATTTGTTTGAAATATACGAATCGAGTGTTTAAAAATTCCAGTTACGGATAAAGGGATCAGGTCCACGCTCACCGTGCATTGAATACACACTCGAACGTCGCGCTTCCGGACTGGCCGTCTTGCAGTACAACGGTAACATCCTTTGGTGGCAGTACCAAGTGAAGTGACTGAATTGGTGCATCAGGCATGGGTTCTGTTATAATAAAAAAATGTCAGGGGAATATCGGTGTATTGCATTCACCGCAGATAGTGGAAAAAGATGCGTTTTAGTGACTCAATCACAGCAATATCAAAAATGAAAACAAACGCTTTATATTCCTAACGAACCCCGTTAGGTATTTTCCTTTTTTCTCAAAGTGACATTCTCTTTGACTGACTAACGACACATTGTCTGTCCGCATCGGTGTTGAATCAAACCTTCAAATTTCATTCCTTCCATGTAGCAGTTATTATCTGGAGTGTCTGTAATTTTGAATCACGGCCAGAATATACTGTGTGAGATTCCAACTCACCAATAGGTACTGCGCAAGTCTACAGTTTTATTTCTCCTAACCGACTGAACCCATTTGTTCGCGCTGTATTAGATGTATAATGTGCAAACTGATTGTTGTGGTTAGCGAAGGCGGCTCAATATTATTTAAGTCTCACCAGCTGAGCAATATATAATGAACCGGTGTTTTTTGCAAGCTCTACTACAGATCGACAGAAAAATCTATAATGGATAAGAAGCTGGCCTAGATAATTCAAATAACAGCTTTGCAGATAGTAAAAGACACCCTAATTTTCACTATCTCAAGGTGATTACTTCTTTATAGGGGAACAAGCAATGAAGCACATAAAAGCTGATTGTATCTGCACAAGTCTGAGATAACAAGTAATACATATTCAAAAAGTGGGCGCAACTAACGCTCGTGTAACTGCATGATCACATCCAAAATTAGCCTGTCCCGTAAATCATTCCTCTGTAGTTGTGCTCTCGCGTCTATTTTTCAAACAAAATAGGGCAAACAAAATGATTTTAAGAAGGACTGGAGCATGGTTTGTTACCTTTTTTATGCTACGAATAAAGAAATGCATCTGGAAAGTCCTTTTTGTACTGTTTTACGGTTCAAAACACAAAAGAGACTCCACTCCCATTGTCATATCTCGATATTTTCTTCGTGAACACATGGATATGTTAAATCTGCTACTTAGCACTATTTCTTCTTAAGAGTAATCAAACTATCATTCACGTCCTCAGAAACTAACGTACAGGGTTGAAACTCTGTGTTTTCGGTTATTCTTTGTTGCAGTGGACAATAAACACTAGTGAAACTTCTCACCGTTAGAATGGAAACTTGCGGAGATTACATTGGTAAATAAAGAACAAATTTTGTAACTCTAACTTTAAAACGCAATGCATGTGAGATCTTCTGTTCCGTACAATCAGAATAGTTATCTTGCATTGTCTTGACCAGCGAAAACTTCGGTTTCCGGTAGAGCTGGAATGCTCGTTGATCAAATAGACTCAGGTGTTTTAAGGAATAAATTAGCATCGGATTTGTCGAATCCATAATGATTTTGGCCTCATCCTCGGGTTTTGACTTAAAATTTTCAGCCGAAGGCTTCAGTGCTTTTCTGAACTGTCTACTCCATTTCCTCTTAAACTATATCAACCTGAGTAGGTGCAAAATCAAATAGTTGTTTTATTCCGACCAATTACAAAGCGGTTTACACTAGATGCTTCCATCTCGTCATCCAACCACTTGGTTGGTAGTTTCATCCAAAACTTTATCATGTAATCCCACTTAGATATTTGTAGGATCATATAACTTCCAAAAATAAAACATTAACTGTGAGTTGCATTCATCTTCTTTCTCTTCCGAAGGTCATATGTACACAAACTCTCCAAGATGAGATCAGAAATGAGTATCGCCTTGACAGGGATAACCCTGATGCACGCAAGCAAGTCTCATGTTTTCATGTTCGCGCACATTGCTAGTCGTATATAAATGTACTTTGTTAGCTTTTATTTGTTTGCTTAATTACGCTTACTCTTGTCATTTTTTTTCTTCAAAAGATTAATAGCACAACAACGGGGCTAGAAGAGTTTACTGGTTCCCTAGTCAGCGTCTGCTTTCTTTGTCAAACAGACCGAGCACGCACACAAGCACTCATGGATGCGGATAAATGGTCGATTACCGGGAACCCCGAAAACGTTGGTTCGAGGGCAAACTTATGACAAAAGTTGATGGTTGACCTTTCAATATGCAGTTATCCATCACTAATGAAACGATTTTCTTTAACGTACAAGCACAGATGAAATAAATAAAAAAACGTTCAATCGTGTGCTATATAAAATGGTATTTTTTTAACTAGTTAATCACCCTCATAGATGCGTCTTTTCTTTTCACCTTTCTATAAAATAATAACCTCCGATCCGAAATTGAGTGCAATTAATGTCCATATCCGTACAACCTTTAATTACATTGTCATGTTTACTACTTCTCACTACCTCAATACAGTCCCATTTATCTTCAATGCACACGTAAACACCAGCCAAGCTGGTCGACCCGGAATGATAAAGATTATCGAAAATTATCAAGCTCCATTGTGCTGTCACAGTACTCCACAATGTTCTAGAAAAAGTGGCAATTTTGTAAAAGAGGCAGCTGAATCATCGATGTTTTTTACCCCTGGGACCCCACACGATTCAGCCAGACCAGGCATAATCTCTACCCCGGGATCTTGAAGTGTTTGTTCACTTTAGATCGACTACAAAATCAGCGCAACGAACATGAGCCCACCACCTACCAAGCTGAATAAGCGTCACTTGTTGCCACCTCCACACCACTCGTGTCTTCTCTTAACCTCGGACACCTCATAAGTGGATGGTTTTTCATGGACCTAATCAGTTCTCCATCGGGTAGCACGAAATGAGGACGGGGCGTGGCCAGCAAGTTTTTTTTTAATTGTGACCGTATCTCGTGAGACCACAATTCGTTCACCCATATCAGAGCACGATCAAAGCATGGAACTTGACGTTGGAGAATTGAAATTGCTATGACCTCAAATATGTATTTTTGCTTGATGAGAGTAGCGTGATCAAATTGGAGAAACCTGTATTCTTTTCAAAACTCATAGCGACATGGCTTGTGAGTAGTCAGCTGACGTTTGACATGATGGAAATTGAACTGAGTATTTGACTATTTTCACCAATACATTTCTCTCCTTGAAATAAGAAAAACAAAATTCGAATTGACTACTTTAAAAATGGTAACGTTTTATAAAAGAAATCATATATATATTAGTATTTACTCAGCTGCATTCAGTATCTTAAATTTCGCCAGGCAAAAAGTGTTTATTGCCATGTTTAACCATCCTGATAGCTTATTTCTTATGATCGGTGTTTTCGAGCACATTAAAAGTACATATAATCCAAATGATTTCTTCGCATATCTGTTAAAGATCACGGTTAAATGTACTGGTGCTTCTTCTTGTCAGTGTGACTCAACAGACTATTTGTAATTGATAAAATCTTGATGATAGGGTCTTACACGCGGAGAACCGCAACCTGCAAATGGCTTTTCTGTTGCTTGATACACCGTTTTAAATGCTTGCACCATTTAAATAAACTTTGCATTGAATTTGATTTGGGCAGTGAATGTCGTAGAAGTGATGCTATTCTTCAGACAAGCTTACTAACAGTTTCTTTGACACGGCTCGTTGACGAGGAAATGTCGCCACCAGTAATAGATACAAAGGTTACGTGTTGCCATAGTTTTCAAAGGTACATCCTTAGTTAAATTTCTAACGATTGCGTCAAATCTCAGCTCATCTTATACTTATTTCTTTAGATCAGAATTGAACAGTGGGATCTCACATTTGGAGCTTAACAAAATCGCAAATCATAAGAACTCGCTCTATCCTAGAATTGAATGCTCCGCTGGTTTTAGAGCCTGACTAATTTGCCTTGCGGCCAAATGTGAAAGAATAACACGTTTTACATTATTTACATACTTGAGAAATTAGCTTCCACTGGGATAAAATGTCCTATTCGAATTGCCTTTCAAGTTATTGTTACTCAAGAAAGAACATAAGCACTCCATTTTTGATCAATTGTGCTATCAGTCTTATTTACTGAATTCACCTTTCACAGTCAAGATGAATGATTGTGTATACACTCCTCCTTGAGCTTGTGCATCACCGTAACTGTTCACCAGATGTGCTCGAAATACGGTCGAATCAAGAGACCAGTCGACATTCAATAGCACGAGAGTTTGTTCGACCAAGCTCACGTAAATACTCGTTGTGGTTGGAACTGGTCCGTTATTCATGGTCCATTTGGCACGTGGGGCAGGTACTGCATTTACCGATAATGTGCTATCCTCCGCGGAGCTTGTGTCCAGTTCAGAGTGAGTTCCACCCGGGGCGAATATCCGAGCATATGAACTGGGCCAAAGAACGACTGCTTGCCCCAGGTACACTTCGAGTAGTGAACGAGAACGAGCTTTGGGATTCAATGGATCCAAATCTAAAATTTCCGAGGGCAACAAAGAGACTTTGACTGAGTACTATAAAGCGTAATCACATCAATGTCCTGAAAAGAAATCCGTAAACTCGGCTTGATCAGCTTTTAAATTCATTTAATACATGTTGCACATGTTTTGGAGCACTTTTGAGATTTGGTTTCTCAATACTTCACTAAGCTGCTGCTGTCACTTTCGGATTGTATTTGTTCAAACCGCGAATTGTTATAGACTACACGATCACAATTTTTGGAAAAATTGCATGTCATTCACTTCACTGGTCGACACAAACAGCAGTCTGGTAGTTAGGAAGGTGGGTGACTTACGTTCTCTCTGGGGTCCAACAAAAATTAAGAGCAGTGAGTGTGCTTGTCGAACGGCACAGGGTTTTTATTTTGCATTGTGCATCCCGGCTTTACACAGTAAATTCTCTGGATAGACTGCTCTTATACGGATAAGTGAAGAATATAAATAGGTAACCTATATTTAAACAGGGCGATTTTAACATCTTATAGCCGAATGTTTAGTCTCTGATACCCCGAATGACCACATGATCGCTGACACACACGATACTTCCCACGAAACCTTTTCAAAATTATAACTGAAATGAATGTTTTTGTCTTTTAAAACTCAAACACGAAAATTCGCTCTGGGACAAACCGAACATATTCTGGTTGATATCCAGCCGTTCAGTGTCAAGGTCACATAGTCGAACTGGACCAGCACTTTCAACGACCACACACTGTAAAGGCGTACAGCATTCAGTGTTATTACTACTGCTTGCAGTATATTTGGGTCTTGTGGGCCAGTTGCATCATTCAAAATCGGTCAACTGCTTAATTCATGCATTTCACCAGGAAATCGAAATGAATTCGGTATGGAATACGTTTTTCAAATAATTTAATTTTCTTGAAATTTTCTCTACTCAGGATTATGTTTCTCTTGGAGCAATAGTTTGATTGCTGTATTTTAAAAGATTCGACATTTCCTTTTCACTGTATGGATCCACAGGTCTCTCAACTATGACGTATTCTTTCTATCCCCTGGCAGATATTTATTACCCGAAACCTCCCTTTTTAAAATTGACCGTATTATTTTTAATTCAGTAAATCGTCGCAAGGCATTACAATTTTTATTGCTTGTATCCTGTTATTTTAATGACATTCTCAGCATACCTTCTATTCATTTTCAATCATGTAGATTTCCAGGAAGAAATGAGTTTGTGCTTGCCTCCCAGTGGTCCATCATTTTTGCACGTTCCGCGGTCTCCCCAATGCAGTCAGTCTCCTCTGCAGCTTGGGGAAGGCATCCAGAGTATTGATAATACAAAACGTTACTTTTCTTTACAGCCACCAAACAACTATGCTTTTTGAATAATATCATCCGAATGGTTCAGCCGACAAGCTTCCCTCTAATGTGGCGATGAATTGCAAACACCTACTGGCGAAACGGATCAATGTAAACTTATAACTGGCGAAGGATCACTCATCGATACGATCTATAAAGTACATTGCCCGTCCCTACTTAAGACAATATGTAAAAGATAAAATAACGCCCCCACATCATTGAACACGAATTATCCACCGACCGATCAACACGGGAATTGATATGGAAACGAGGAAAACTTATTTAAACTGACTCAATTCAAATTCACGCGAATTATTATGCATAAATACAAATGTTTACTCGTTACACTTCCTTATCTTGAAGTTGACTCTTCATACCAGACCTACATTTTGCTTAATCCTACCAGTGCAGCTGAAATCTTCATTGCCGTGATTCCTTATCCACATCATAGCAAACTGGGTTATTTTGTACATATGGTCAATGGAGACAGTTAGCATAGTGTCATCTCACAGAACATCACATCACATTTCGAATTACACTATTGGTCAAAGGAAAAAGAGAGAACTCATGCGATTAGCTGNCCTAGAGCCTGGGTGTCCAAGCATAAACAAACGGAAGAGATGCAATCACACTGCTTGATGTTCGTCGACGGTACTCATTTGGCTTTTACTCACATCCGATTGGTAGATCACCGTCTCCTTGATAAACTTCAGTGTGGTGTGACAAGCAGAAGGGTTCGACAAAAGTTTATCCCAATTCTGAAAAGAAATCGCTTTTCATCCGCAACATGCCTAAAACATGAATATTCCTTCCTCAGTTTCGACAGTGCACAAAGATCTGAAGTTGAACAGGTAAAATTTGAGTGCATGACGGCCGAACCAGTAGCGTTTCAGTCTATCAAAACTAGCCCATTGTTCCCATCGGACCAGACAGCTCGACACACCATAACGCAACTCCCGCCATTTTATGATTGCAATAAAATTGTTTTACCTCCAGGCTGTCAATCTTCCATACATTTTAAGACCATCATGCTCAAAACCGACCCCTTTACAAACATCCAGTCTTCCCTGCCCCACCTCCGCTTTAAACGTTTACTCGTCACAGAAGGCCAATTACTACCGCTGAGACCGTAACATGCAATGGTTTCTTTTTATCACTTTATCTAGCTGGAACACGTGGATTTTGATGCGTCAAATCCCGTCGACATCCAAACGAAAGGATTTCCCGACTTTCCACTCCCCCATAACCGTACCAATAATTTGCCGCTCAGCATCATTCTGAATCGGTACGGTGCGGACACAGATTCTAGCTGCTTGATCTGTGTGAATGGTGGCCAACTGACAAACAGGAGGGATGCACGCATGCGAACAAAGGTTATCTGCATACTGGATACGAAAATCGGGTCATATGGTTCTACTCTTGGACTATAGAGCACAGTTCTAAGCGATTAGATTGACTTGTGTGTTAAGTGTTCTCCTGGACTGGGATTCTCAGTTTTTCGTCAACAGTGTGATTAACTTTCCCTTTGCATCCTGACATTTTATTCAACCCCGACCAAAACTGACTCAGTTCGCTTGTCTGTTCGGTTTTACATTTAACCGTAGAATGGTGATATCGATTTTAGTGAAGCCCTGAAACTTCATGAACCTAAGGTCATAACCTACAAGGTATTAGGTTGAAAGTGAAATGTTTACTAAATATCTCTGAACTCAAAGCTCAGGACATTTTATTTGGGGTGAACCTGTGTACGACTAACCATTACCTTCATTTATGTTAATGGGACCCACTCTACAATCCCGTTTGGTGTTGATCCAAAAACCATTCGATTATAAATATATACAGATTACAATAAATAGAATTTCGAGATTGTAAAACTTTCAATAGCCTCGATGTGATTCGAACCCATGCATGGACGCCACCTATGCTTTTGCACAGTGCACGCTCGACCAGCTGAGTTACGAGGACACGCTGATCTGCCAAACAACAATTTGGACAACTAACTTTGCCTTCATTCATTTGATGGCCTCTGGTAAATTCTAAGGAAAACCTGTCGGGACAGTCAGCGTACATGCAGATTGGTGGATGCAATATGCCTCTGTAAGTGAGATGGTTAATCCGAAAATAAAAATATCAGTGTTTTCTTGACGTAAAATCTTTAGTCTGCCAAAAAACAATTTGAACAATAAATAGTATTTGAATGATTAGACAAAATTTTACCTGGAGGCGCACGACCGGTTTCGCGGTTCTTGCCGCTCGTCAGGCATGCGTATCCGGTAATCTTTTGTTACCTCATTCACATACATCTACCCGGGAAATTTATTTTCGGCGCAATAATTACCTGGTATTGCAAATGAGATTATTGCGATGAAAATATTTATTTGTGTCTGTGCAAAAAACCGTTGCTTAGTTTCAAATGAGAAGTGTTCATTGTAGGAGATATCTTTCATTTCTACGAACATCAGTTTTACATATTTTAAAGCCTCTGTGATTTCTATTGTTAGTTGGTCTATCGCATGCAGCTTGAAAACAAGGAAGCCTTGACTTCTCAAATAGATTGACAACAGAACCGATTTTATCTGTACCTTGAAAGTTTCTGTAAGTGTAAAGAAAACCTTTGAAACAGCCTCATTGATTTGAGTGGTTACTAATTGGCAGACCAATTCAAATTTGGAACTGGCATACTTTTCGTTTTCTATATACCTAAATTTCTCCGTTTCGCACCCGTTCTTCAGATCACTTCATTGGCTATCACCTCAGCCCGAGAATCTAAAATGCTTTGTTGTTTCTGCACTTTTTGCGCGAATTCAAAGACAACGGGGTTCGTGTATCCCTCCCACTGTACGGGTCCCATTCATTTCAAGGTTGGATCCTCACCTCTGTTGGATATTTTACTCACACCAACATTTTTGTAGACTTGCCGATTAACTCAATTCACATTTAGCCTCTGGGATGAAAATGCCATATTCAGTCGGATGAAATCTTTGATACACACAAGGTGCATTAGTTACCAAGAGATTGATCTAATAATTTGAGTCTTCTTCAACTTTTTATCTTCTATAGGAAGGTTTATTCTACACTAATTACTTGGGTTAGGCTCTTGTTTCCATGACATTTTCCGTAGATTTGAAAGAACTGTTTCCGTAACTTAAAGAAATCCTTGCTGATATCCATCTGAACAAAATGACAATTTAAATATATAATTTTCTTTGTGATTTCAGAGGAATTTAACTATAGAAACATCACCTCATCGAATAGCGAAATTTACCAGAGCTTTCCAATTGTTGTTTTATGCTAAACAAGAGAACCAACTGAAGCAGTTCGAACTCGTCTCCATTCATTTAAAACGGATTTATAACATTAGGAAAATGAATTCCAATTTGATCAAAAATTAAGAAGAGTATTTTCTTTTTATGTTTATTCGTTGTTTGGCACTGTAAGATGGCTGTTTGAAATGGAGATCAGTGGGAATTGTTAGATCATACAAAGTTGCCTTGTGATTTTACGTCCGCTTCCACTTCCCGCCTTCCACCCTCACTCGTTTGATCACAGAGCATTCATGCCGTTTCTCTCACCCCCAGCAAACCGAAATGCAACTATATCTTACGATCACCGGTTTTCCACTCATTTCGGTTAGATGGACTACTTCTTTTGAAATAAT